CTGTACTTACACGGAGTCCATGGCATACAGATGTGAACACATTTTCACTTTAGTCATAAGGTTGAATTGTTTTCATGATTTATAGAAATATGGACTTTCTAAAACTGATGGCTTCCTCTCCCCTTGTTGACGGCAGAGTACTATAGTTATCTGAACAATGGTTTCCTTATAAGGTCATTTTAAAATCATTAATGGCTCTGGGCAAACAATATTAACACCGTATTCAGATGTCCTCCACCTTAGGGAGAAAGATCTTCATTCTACAGAAGCAATTTCTAGTCGTAAAATAAATGCTAAAGGAATATGAGCTGATGAATCATGAAACCCTTTTAAAACACAGGCTCAAAAAATTCTAATCACGAGAGATAGCAGGAAGCTGACATAAACTTGGAGTTACTGTCTGTTGTTTTAGACTTAAAAACTATGCCATTATGAAACAAATGTAAAGGAGCATAACCATTAAAGAAGAAATTTGGCCATTAATATCTTGGGGTAGATTAATTTTTGGCTCAAAAGGACTGAAGCCTGCCATCTTACTATGAGTTCCTTACTAATACTGATAAGATGGAATCAATATTATAACATGAGGTGCAGGTAAACGACAGAGCTGAAGCCTGTCGTTCTAGATCAGTTTTTATAGCAGTTTATCTAGTTTAATGTTTACACGAACTTGTTGACTCAGAAGTAGACTTTGGGGGCAAAGTTTTACTGCTCCCCTGCTAGTCGCTGTCTTGGAATGACATCACCCCACTTGCAGACGCTTCTGCCAGGCTCTCACTTCCACAGCCAAGAGGAAGTCAGTCATTCAGAAATGATTGCCACGTGGTATCATGTCAAGCCCACGCTATGAAAGTGCTGTCTTATCAGTAAGGTCACAAGTCACCCTGTTGAACTTTGAGGAGACAATGACAATTATCTAAGACTCTGTCACTTTATTGCAGCGTATGCATACGGCTGACCTTGCTATATCTACACAGTTCTTATCTTGGTTCAAAATATTTCAATTCCTCCCATCAGAATTTGATAAGGGACAAATGCCTATTGGAGTGAAATAAATAACAGAAATTCAGATAATAGATTCATCGAATTAAGTGACTGAGTCGTCTGGTGCGACAGGCCTGTAATTCCAGAGACTGAGGCAGGGGGATTGAAAATTCAAAGCCTGCATGAGCTACAAAGTGATGTCAAGGCCAGCTGGAACAACTTATGGGGCCCTTAAATTAGAAGAGGGGGAAAACGGTGCATATGAGGGGTAGATCCATGGCCGAAGCTTAGCACCTGGGTTCAGTCCTCACTACTGAAAAAAATAAAAGTTAAATGAATGTCGTGTTGGCTAGTGCTTGGCAATAAAGCAGGAGGAAGTGGCTACAGCAGCTATAGTGCAATGTTAGCCCGCGCACTTTCTCGGCTATCAAGAAAGAAGCTATGCACAGCATCATTGCTGCAAAAGGAAAGTGGAAGAAAAGATTTTCTCGCAACGCAACAGGGAAGAGAAAGGGGAAGGAGCCTGCTTTCTGGTCCTGCAGCAAATATTTGATTCCTTTCAACGATCTTGAACAATAAACTAAACTGTGAATGAAAGTCCTCTCACCTGGCTCTCATAATAATATTAGTTCAATGAGATAATAAATTCTTGCAACCATCTTCCATGGAGGAATGAGGGTTTGACAATATTTAAGGCACTGTTCAGTTTCTCAAGAACTAACAGAAAGGTCCAGGAGAACAGGGGAAGAGTCAACACTGAGCCGTGGGCTACCTGGAAAGCACACCAAGACAAACATAGTTTTCTACCACTCTTTCTTATTGTTTCTCATGTCAAATGATTTACTGTGTCTATTGACCAAATAAATTTCTCAGGCATCTCAAATTTCCATTCTTACAAAGTACAGAGTTTTTGCTAACAATAAAATACATGAGATAGTTACAGAAAACAGTTTAAGGAGTGATTGTTTTAACATGTGTATTATAGACACAGAACAATCTTAAGTCTTTCTTATATTTAAGGATCTCAAAACTTCCATGCTTGCTCTCTGATGATAAGAAACAGGGTGATTTCATTTTTATTAATAGTGTTTTCCCGTGAAGCTTCAAAGCCTTTAAAAGTACTGTATACATTGTTCCAAAATGACCACAAAAGATTTTCACACCAGAACCTCGGTTTTATTATTATACTTCATTCTGACTCTATAGAGATAAATGGAGAATGGTTTGCCTAATCCCTAGGAAATAATGCCTCCTCCTCTCCAGACAGGACAATTGAAAAGAGGTCAGATTGAATTAAATGGGTAATCATGCTTCAATTAGAAGAGTAACGCCCAAATCCTGGGGCTGGAAGGATGGGTAAGTGCATACAGAGGACCAGAGTTTGCTTCCCAGCACCTGTGTCAGCTTTATCAAAATCCTTCATCTCCTTTTCCCAGCCCGATTCCTCTCTTTGTGCCTTACATGCTGAAATACGCAGCATGGATGGGTGCTAGGAGTGAGTGTCCCAAAACTTAGGGCATCAAGTTCAAAATTGCTCCGATCTCTATAAACTGAAGCTGTGTGATACTTTCAGAAACACTGGAAATGGGCACAGCCTTTCACTCTTAAGCTGTGGGAAGGAAAAGACATAAGCCAGATGATTGAGAAAAGAAACTGGATCTCTAGAGCTGTGCAATCCCTTCGGGTTCTGGGAGCATTCCCCTTAAGTCAGAGTGGTTGGTGGGCGGTTTGCTAACAGATCTTGAAGGAGCAATACTGGGGTGACAGCCAGGCCAAGTAGCCAAGGCCAGTGAGCAGCAGTGGTGTGGCTCAGAGGGAGAGGCAGATCACACGTTCGTGACTGCTGGACACATCCAGGAAGCCGACCTAGGAAGGGAAATTCTCCAGATGGGTGACTGTGTATTATTATCAAAGGGACAGTGGCTGCATGTGTTCTAGAGCTCAGGATTTCACCTGGGAATGTGATTATCTCAGAACACAGTAGTGACTTTTCTGGGAGTTTATCTGTAACCAGCTACCAAAACAACAAAGACAAGTCAAATACGGGAATTATTCTCCTCTAAATGCTACCTTATACAAATGTAGTTGGTCTTACCATGTATTTTGAATAAGAATATGGCTTTGAACTGAGTGGTATTGGCCCACGCCTGTAATCCCAGCTCTTGGGAGGCAGAGGCAGGTGGATCTCTGTGAGTTAGAAGCCAGCCTGGTTACAGGATAGGCTCCAAAGCTACAGAGAAATCCTGTCTCAACAAAAGGGGGGGAAAAAAGGCATTAAGAATAAGACCTTGTTCGTGTATTTGCCAGCACTGTCATCCCAACCTTGAGAGAGTAGAAAGGGCACCATTTCTGTATGTGTGTTCTGTGTTATCTAGACACGGATGAGCAACGCACACGAATGTGGAGGCAATGTCTGGCCTCAAGCGCTGTGGCACGCGTTAATAAGATGCAGATTTTATCTGGTAGCGTACTTTGGGGAAACACCACTAAAATTTTTGCTCTTTGACTAAATCAGATTTAGGAAAGTTGGTTTAAGAGCCATCTGGACTCCTCGACTCTAGTCTTTACTCACCAGATTCCCAGATCTGTATTTTCTAAATATCAAATCAACCTGAAAGAATACTAGAGAAATTATTCTTCATTATCATTTATGACTGATAAAAAACAAGGACACCCCAATTCACAGACTAGGCCAGGCTTTAGAGGTTAATCTAAACTATCTGTGACTATCAAAGAGCTTGAACTATGAATTTCATAAGAAGGATCCCAACAAATTGACAACTGCTGTGTGAAGTGTGGGGCCCTCAGCCCCCATCACTACTCTTTGCCTTTTCTGGAGCTTAGCTCCTTTGCTAGACAGTAAAATGAACTGAGACTATGATCTTTAGTGATAACGAACCTGTGATGTTTGAACGAGAACAGCCCTTATAGGCCCATACATTTGGACGTTTGGTTCCCAGCGAGTGGACTGTTGAGGAAGGATTAGGAGACGTGGCCTTGTTGGAGGAAGTATGTTGCTGGGGGAAGACTTTGAGATTTCAAGAGCTCAAGTCAGGCCTAGAATCCCTCTCTCTCCCCCTCCAACTTAAGAATCAGAAGCAGTCTCTCAGCTACTTCCCCAGCGCCCTGCCTGCCTGCCACCATGAGGATTGTGGACCCACCCTCTGAAACTGTCAGCCAGCCTCCAGCTAAATGCTTCCCTTTCTGAGCTGCCTTGGTCATGGTGTCTTGGCACAGCAGCAGAAGAAAAACTAAGACCCAACCCAAATGCTCAGTAAACACCGTGAGACTCAAAGTGATATCCTGATTTTCCTTCCAATTTTCTTTTTCAAGAATCTGAAACAATGTTTAGACATACGACATTGCAGGACCCTTAGCGCTGTTTTTATAAAAACAAGAAAGGAACCAGTTCAGCCCCACAGTGGCTACCTGTATCTCCGGAGCTGGTCTTATGGGTAGTATTTGCCACCATCATTTATAGAGAATATAAAGTCAAGTTCGCTGCATTACACTTAAAAAGAATTTGACTTAGGAAAAAGCTCGCCCCATCTCAGTCTGGCATCTCACCAGATGCCATCTTAAAACAAAACAAACCAACAACAACAAAAAGTCTATAACCTAGATGATCAAACTATTATATCCTTCAAAATACGCGTTAATGAGTTCAGTGGCAGATGACCAGCCTATCATACTCAAGGCCCGAGATGTGAGCACCAGTACTGAAGAAAGGAAGAAAGAATCTAAGTGGGTGAGAGATCCTAGAGAAAGCAGGTGTGACGGAGTTCCCACCGTACCAGCATTTATGTGGCAATTAGAATGTAATTGGCCCCCATAATGCCATAATCCCATAATTCCATAATCTCACGATTAGGAGGTGTGACTTTGTTGGTGTGGGTACAGTTTACACACTACACATACACCTATACACACACCATACACCACACACACACACACACACACACACACACACACACACACACACACGGCTCAGACTGTTCACCGACAAATCACAATACCTTCATCAGCTCTGATGGCTCACTTCCTTCTTCCACCACAATGAGCTGAGATCGTCCCTTCCTCTCATTGTCCCGAATGCCAATGGCAACCTGGCTGGCTTTCAGACGCTCGTATTTGTTGCAGGAGGAACCACACCACTGGTAAATTTCCTAAAAAAAAAAAAAAAAAAAAAGGCGGATCATTTGACATGAAATGTTTGTAGAGGACTTTCAGCCTTAGTATGAAACTCGCTGTGATTAATAAACATGGTTTGATAAAATACGGAAACATAATAATGTTATTATATGTCATAGATACACAAAGGATGCTAACTAGTAGAAACCCACAACTGTCAAAGTGCAGAGAATTAGTGTCTGCAGAGGGCTCAGCCATAAACCAAACACCGGTGTCACATGCTCTTTGACAATAGCTCAGAGAACACAGAGGAAGAAGAAGTGGAAAGATTTAAAAAGCCAGAGTTCAGGGAGAACTGGGATGTTACTTATATAAGTTCTGCACAAGATAAACACTCAAAATTCCAGCATGGATTCAGAAGAGACACACAGCCCCATCCATCCCTAGTTAGGAGCCTGACAGTAGGTAGCTGCTAGGAGAGAAAGCCAGTTCTCTTTAGGGGTGTGTCCAGTGACTAGCCCCACACCCATGGGCATAAGGCAGCCTTAATTAGATCCTGTGGAATAGATAGATAGATAGATAGATAGATAGATAGATAGATAGAGATAGAGATAGATAGATAGATCATGAAGTTGGGAAAGGACCACAGGGAGTAATCCTGGAGGAGTTGGGAGCAAGATAAGAATGATCAAAGTGCATTGTATACATGTCTGAACCTCACAAAGAATACATACAAATGTTATACTTTTTAAGAAGAAAATTAGAATCAGCTACTAGTGAGGTATACAAAATTTTATGTATTTATCTGCATCTTATTGATTTGATGGCATTATAAGGAAAGCATTTAAATGAAAACTACAGATAAATATCATCACTCTTCTTACTTATCTACTAACTATAATTTATATAAGTAAACTTACATAGACTTACTTAGATTAAAATTTTTAAGGTAGCCAAAATCTGTTAAAGTATTAAACTCTGATGCTCATAAATTTTACATAACATTTTTGTAAAAGAATTTATTTACTTGTTCATTCATTTAAATTAGCCAACACAAATTATGTATATACATGTGTATGTATATATGTATGTGTATATACATATACATATTTGTATATAGATATAAAATCCCATACAATATGGAACTTTAAATAGATATGTGTTATTGAATGACTAAATCTAAGAAACTAAGAAATATAACATCACACAACAATTCTCTTTTGTTTCTTTTGGTTTTTTAGGACAGGGTTTCTCTGTAGCTTTGGAACCTGCCCTGGAAATCACTCTGTAGACCAGGTTGGCCTTGAACTCACAGAGATCCACCTGCCTCTGCCTCCAAAGTGCTGGGATTAAAGGCATGTGCCACCACCACTGACTGAGTCACTCAACGATTTTTATAAAGAACCATGAGAAGAGTTAATGACCTTTGACTCAGCAATAATTCATTTTAATAACTGTTCACAAAACATGGTAAACTTACATGTACAAGAACTGCAACCATTATGTGATGTTAGTGAGGCGGTACAAAGATAGTAAGTATTCCGTAACAGGGTAAGCTGTTTACATTAAGATGCACAGAAAGAGATGGGTGCTAAACTACTAAGATTATTAACACAGAGATGCAGAGAAATAGGAAAACGTGTTTATTATATCACAGAGATTGTACTATGTGTTACTTAGCCTCAAACCTTACAGATTTAAGTTTGAGAACAGTGCTCATAATACACACAACTGCATCTGTACAATAAAGACGTCTGAAAATTCCTTTGAGAATATAATCTCATCACTTTCCCCTTTTCTTTCCCTCCCTCCAAACCCTCCCATAAGCCCTTGCTCTCTAAAGTGAAAACTTTTATCAAAAAGTGACTTAGCAAATGAAAGAAGCTAGCTGGTTCCCGGGCACCCAGCCTGGGCGAGAGCTCCAGATTATCACACTGTGGGCGATAGAAACCCACAGGAGCTTCCTGTGAGGGTACTCTAGCAGCAGAGAAAATCACTAAATATGCTTCTAAGACCAGGAGTTTCTACGGCTCTGTACTACAGAAAGGTTAGGACCTGAGTTGCGCTAGCAAAGAAACGCATCCACAGAGGGATTGCCACGGAACTGCCATACAGGACACTCAGGATTCGTCATCGCAGAACAAAAGGTGTGTTTTAATCGGGTGTGGAAATCTCTCAGGTAAACTAGGAAGAATAAAATAATCCCACAGAATAATACACGTAAGCAGAACCAAAAATACGCATTGGCTACAGAGAAAGGTATTTAAGGAGACGTCGCTTTAAGTGCTATGGAGGCGTGGCTAGCTATGGAGAAACCCAAACTGTCTCGTTCTTTTATGAAGAGCTCGGTGTGAGGGCCATTCTGGAGAAGGAGGATAAATATGACAGAACCAGTAAGGATGTGTAGAGAGACACTGTACTGGTGTTTCATTTGTGGGTCAATAAATAAAGCTTGCCTGAGGATCAGAGAGTAAAACAGCCCCACTGATGAGCCTTACAGACCAGGTGATGGTAGCACGCACCTTTAATCCCAGTAGCCACATAAATTTACCATAGGAACCAGGCAGTAGTGGTGCGCACGCCCTTAATCCCAGAACTAGAGAGCATTATAAAATGGGAGGAGACAGCTCTCAGTCTCAGTCTCTCATTCTGAGATTCCAGGAGGCAGGATCGCCATTTCGGACTGAGGTAAGACTCAGTGGCTGGCTGCTTTGCTCTTCTGACCTTCTGGATGGACCCCAGTTTCTGTCTTTGAGTTTCTATTAATCGAGCTTCAAGACACCTGCCCTAACATATTTGCATCACCATGGTTTTCCAGTTTCCACAAGTTTCACCTGGTGAACTGTGGAGCAGTAGTTAGCACGGTAGCCAAATGTGAGGAGGGTTAAGTGTGAGCAAGGAAGGCAGCGACTCCTTGGTATGTGACAGTGTGTTTTCAGATTCTGAATATACATATTAATAACATGTATATGTTTATATATGTAACATACTAACAACAGAAAGCTGAAGGCACCCTCACACTGTGAGACATCTTCATCCCAGAGACATTCTGTCACTCACAAGCAGTGAGCTAAAACAACAAGCTTTCTTGGGGGTACCGGGACAAGCTGGACAACATGGGCTTGTGCTGTCCTGTCCCTTCTCTTTATCATGTTACAACTGACTTCATCTTTAGTCCTCTTGAAGAACAAAGCACGCCCATGAGCAACTCGAGCTTTGATAAGAAATACCAAGAACTGTGTCTTCTAGTCCATTTATTCTAGAATGTGATTTCATTACTCGGTATCATCTCTTTCATGTTTCGAATAGAGTGGTTTGTTCCCATTAATGCCTCCCTAGTCCGTTTTCCAAACCTGCACATTGGAATTTGAGGCATGCATGCAAAGCCACTTGAATTCAACACCAAGGTCAGCAATTATAATACATGAAAACACGTGGTTTCCAGTGACTATTAGTCACTGAGAAATAAGATCAATGGAGCAGAAAAGGGCATTTTAAAAATACGGAGATATATACAGAGCCGGGAGTTTCTTTCACTATCACAGTTCATGTCTGAACTGTTCTGTGGTATGAAAACACAGAAACTCCTGGTGTTAGAAGCATGCTTAATTTTTTTGGTCTGCTGTCAGACTGCCTTCACAGAAAGCTCTACCTGAGAGGATCACTGAGAAACAACTTACTGCAAGGTCTCTGGGAGATTCCAGAACTCACTAGCATCAAAACCATCGTGGGTCACCGTGGGCACACAATATATACATGGCGCCCAGCCCACCATTCTGCCAAGTGCAACCCAGGGTCTCAGAGTCCTGTCCTGAGCCCAGCTGACGACAGTTTGCAAGCAATTCCTTTCATAGTAGATGTGAGGGAGCAAGCTTAAGTGAACACTAATTCATAACACATAAAACAGAGAAAGGCCAGAATTAACTCTCTAGGTCTCTCAGATTAATTAGTGGCTTTCATAACAGATTTCCCCCATTGTTACATCATCATCTAATTCATTTATATTCTCGTTATCTCCTTTGTATAAATGACCTCTCTTCTATTTCAGAGACTTATGTAAAATCCTAATTGTACCATCTTTAAAGCCTAATGGAAACTTAGTAAAGAAAATAAATAACAATAATTCCATGAACATTATTACTTGTAATAAAATTGTATGATGGTCTATGGATTCCAAAATCTTATCTGTATTTTTTGATGGAGCTTTTCATATGCATATCAATTTACAAATAAAGTCAATTATCAGTTGTATAAAATATTCCTCACTATTGTGTACAGAGACCAGTTTCTCTGTTCAAATTAGGGGGGAAGTAAGCATTACTCATATTTAAATGAGTAAGGGTTCTAAATGAAGATTTCCTTTGAGCTTCAAAATGACTACAGAACTAGAATTGTAAAAAAAAAAAAAAACATAACAGTTTGGCACTAAAGTGAATTGTTTGTGTTATGCTTACTATTTATTATTTTTGTCATTTTCTTACTAGAGTTAGTTTGCAATGGTAAAACGTAAAAGTCAGAATAGTTCTGAGAGCCACGTTTGATGTGCAACTAGCTGACTGTCTGCTGGCAGTAACAGGTTAAGCTTGCTTTAAAGGTGTAAACAGGGTCAGATCTAGTGCTGGCCAGGTGAGGTGCAGGGCCCGCTTTCCTGAGTGCTGACAGGGGTAGGGGTGAGCCAGCTCTGAGAGCCTGAACATGGGAGATCCGGCCCTGTCCCTCACCAGCAGCAGCACTCTGAAGAGTGGCCCCTGCACCTTGCTTGGGCAACACAGTAGAGCTGGCCCTGGCAGTCCAGGTGAAGGAGGGCCTGCCCTGAGGGCTTGAAAGCAAGAGAATTGCCCCCCAACTTGCTCGTTGCTGCAGTGGGTGAGCTAGCCAGGACAGTCAGTGCTGGGGAGCTCAGCATGGGGGTGAACTAGCCAGGACAGTCAGTGCTGGGGAGCTCAGCCTGGGGGTGAGCTAGCCAGGGCAATGTAGCAGAAGCCAGGGGCTTGCAAGGAAAGATAGGTGTGCAAAAGGGTTTATGTGTGACTCA